TCTGTGTGTGTGTGTGGGTGTGTGTGTGGGACTGACTGAGTTTGAGCAGGAGTTTCTTGCCCAGTGTTTCCTCTGAGCCGCTCAGCGACAGGCTGCTGCTGATGAAAGGAGACGTGTCCGTTTCTATGGGAACGGGGGCCATGTCTGAGAGAGAGAGAGAGAGAGAGAGAGAGAGACCTCGTCATGACCCGGTCTGGGACAAACAGTTTTTGAAAGATGACTCTAAATCTCTGAAACAGATGAAACCAAAGACGTCTGGTCAAAGAATTAAAGAGGAAATATTTGAAAGTAGAAACTAAAATGTCTCCCAGCAGAGCTCACACTGTGTCCTTTAAATCCAACCAAGCTGCACCAACTTCCACACACTCTCACAGATCTAGGAATTATTCCCAAGTGTCCCATCTCACAACGTTAGAGAAAGTGACATCTGCACCAAAGGTTCCCGAAAGGCTCATTTACATTAATTTTGTTTGTGTATTCTAACAAACAAACAAACAAACGGTGAAAACGTAACCTCCTTGGCGGAGTTAATGAAACTGCTTCATTCAGGAAGTGATGCTTCTTAAATGCTAACTACGCGGTTGTTCGTCTGGTAAAGATGGACGACATGTCTCCACTTCCTCCCACCATCAAAAAATAAGGCCAAAATATCTCAGATACAAAAAACTGCCGTCAGAAACCATCTTTTACAAACGTTTATTAAAAAATGTAATTTGGTCCATGTCTCATCTGCTAACATTGAGGAGGCAGATTTTTGATCTATACTACAGCTGGCCACCAGGGGGCTGTCATGTCGTCCATCTTTATTTACAGTCTGGTCTGCTCGTTCAAACTAACAGTGAACCGTTGATGAGTTTGAAGTCTTTTTGTGAACGTCGTACCCGTGTGAGTGTCGGTCTCCGCTCTGTCCTCTCTGATGTACGGGATCTCGTCCATCCTGAGAAACACTGAGTCACTCGGACTCTTCTGGCCGTCAGATTTACTTCCTGCAGCAAACACACATGTGAGGCCTTTGTATTCATGTCATACAAACTCAAATCTGTCACAACACCGTCTCGTGACCCCCCGGGGGACTCAACCTCTTGTTGTGGAACCACAGTTTCAATGGAGTCACCACCGGGTCCTCTCTCTGGAGTGGAGGACACTTACTGACGATGCGGTTCTTCTCGTTCAGCAGCGACGTGCTGTGCAGGACACTGGACTGTGGTCCGTGGGTTCTTGCAGAGCTGGGCCGGCCGGGCTCCCTGGGCGGGGGCATGAGGGTGGCGGTGGTCGGGTGCCCCGGGGGCATCAGAGTGGCGGCGCGCTCCGTTGTCGGAGGCTCTGGCGTCGGGGTGTTGCCTTCTGTGGGACGAGCGTCAGCGTCCGGGGTCTGAGGAGAGCTGTCCATCCTGGTGGCTGTTACAGCGTTCTGGTAGTGACTCCGGGTGATCTGATAGAAAATCATCGTACGAATCAACAACTAATAAAAAACTGTTTCCTTCTGGTTCTTTAAATTTGCAACAGGCAAATAAAACAAGACAATTGATGAAGTACTTCTGCAAATACTGGAAACAGAGAAGCTGTTCTTACTCTGTAATTAAACAAAGTATTTGCACCAGGATTTTTTTGATTCGTTACAATCAGGAACCAAAAGGACAGAAAACGTTGCCGGAGAAATTAATTTTTAATTCGTCTCATCTACAAACATCAGCCGTTTTCAGACATGACTTCTGGAGAAACTCTGCACGATGGGGTCCAGACTTTCTCCGGAGGTTTCGTCTTCCACGTGTTTGGCTCCAGTTTTAGATAATCAAGATAATTTGGCTTCCCTTTTGTCATCCATCTTTATTTACAGTCTATCGGAAATTTGTGTTGACGTCAGAGTTGTCTGTCTCTGTTAAGGTGAACGTCGTCTCCACACAGACACCGAGTGACATTGTTTTTAAAGGTCAGAAACCTGAAACACGTTGTTCCCCGGCTGAGGTCACGTGACCCCCGAGCTGTTACCTTGAGGATCTGGAGGTGTGTGAGCTGTCTGACGGAGTAGTCTGGCAGGTAGACGTTCCCCCCTCCGTTCAGCTGCCCCATGCTCCCCCCGTACAGCATGGACTCAGAGCGGTCCAGACCACTGCTGCGAGAGGGGGATCTGTGCACTGCAGAGGAGGCAGAGCCTTTAAATACACGACCCAACTCTGTCAGTGAAATCACCACTGAGCTCGTGAAATGGCAAAAACACGTGGAGTGAAAGTGAAACCTGGACACGGGAGACATCTGTACCTGTCGGCATGATGGCGGGAACCCCAAAGTAAGAGAAGGCTCCGTTCTCAAACTTGAGCGCCTCCTTACCAAACTCCACCTCCACTCGACCCTGAAGAGAAACCAAGCAGAGGACCTGTTTCAGTTCTGCGGCTTGTTCTGTGCTGACGTCATGAACTTCTCTTAGTGTTGCTGGTACCTGCAGCACCAGGATGAAGTAGTCCACCGGTTTGTTGCGCTGGAACAGGAAGTGCTGCTGCGCTCGCTTGTTCTTCTCGTCAAACTTCATCTCCTGAACCACGCTGGGATGTTTGATCAGCCTCAACAGGATCTTCTCGGAGATGTGAGACGGTTTGAAGGGCTCCACCTCTGATGGAGGGATGAGAAGAAAGAGAGAGAGAGAGGGATATTCTGCGCTGGTATTCATATCATTCCATTCTCCGTAATGTGTTTTGAAACCGGTCGTCACCTGTTGAGAGGAAACGATGCGTCGCCAGGAGAAGCTGAGGAGAAATGTTCACTTTCATCTCGTTCTCTGACAGTTTGAAGATGGAGAAGTCCTGCTGCTTCCGCTCGTGGTGAGAAACACGACGCTTTGTACGATTATCAGCTGACAGGACACACACACACACAAACACACAAACACACACAAACACACAATGAGAACATCCTGAACACTATCTGACACTATCTGCTGTGTGTGTGTGTGTGTGTGTACTTACTGTAGAGGTCGGTCTCGTCCAGGATCTCTGATTTGATGATTTCCTCGATGACGTCCTCCAGGGTGACGATGCCCATCACCTCGTAGAAGGGGTCTCCCTCACCCTCGTTGTTCACTCGCTGCACGATGGCCAGGTGGGACTTTCCTGGATGTCAAAGGTCAAGATCAAGTCAGAATCTGTTTAAATCCAGAATATGTAAAGTTTCTTTAATTCTTCACAGAGCGAAACACCTGAAAAATAAAAATGACACCAATTAAAACCCACAATGAGCATTTAGAAAATGGCTTTGAATTTTAAAACATTAGAGATGAATCATTTGTCAATATAATGTTAAACCAGGCAGATGTGATAAATACATTTAAATCTCACTTTTGATTCCAAAAATGACTTAAAAATTACAGCTTGCATTTTCACTTGAACATTTGAACATATACCAGTGTGATGACAACTACAATTATTTAACATGTACTTTGACTTTTAAGTTTGATCCATGTCCCATCTGGTAACATGGAGGAGGCAGAGCGTATGACCTATACTGGAGCCAGCCACCAGGGGGTGATCAGTTTTCAGCAGCTTTCCTGTCGTCCATCTTTATTTAAAGTCTAAGGTTTGTCTCTCATCAACAGCCGCAAAACTCCTCACAGTCTCAAAAACAAATATCCACATGCACAGCGTACCTACAGTACGGGTAGTACTTCAACATTAAAGTACTAACTGTTGCGCAACTTTTGTAATCACACAGTAAAACAATTTGCATTTTGGAGAATCCACTTCAAAGTCATATCAACAGGCAAAATACTCACATGAAATATATAAGTACCATTAACATTTACCGAACAACACAGTCGTTAGCGTATTTATATGAACCAGTCATTCTTCTTAGTATTATATAAAAAAAAGTGATCATTGCCTTAATGGAGTAAACAGTGACTGTGCAGTTTATGCATCGACAGTTCATTTCATTAGGCTTCATCAGTTTAAAAGCGACCTGCACATTTGTGCCGACTTTGAAATAAGAGTTTGTGTCGTGGACGGACTGACTGAGGTT